GAAACACAATATCACAAGCAACAAAATATAAAACAATAGAAAGTGGCTGCGGAAAACCTAACCTGCATCTCCAGCCCAAACCACTCGACACAACTGCGCTCCCTTCATGTCAACCAACTCTTCCAAACTACAGCTATCCAACGCAACAAACCGCATCCAATTTGATGGAGAATTGAGTGAGATAGCGTTGAGGTGGGGGATATCCGGCACATTTTTCCTAACTTTCCAACCACATGTGGCCATGGTCCCAAAATTGGCACATCCTCCCGACCAGTCATATAATGAACAATGGATATTTATCCCTATTTTCTGAAGCCTGAGGGATGCCAGGGACCATCTGTGCACCCCATTTCTCATGTGTGCACAATGAACATGTGACACACATCATGATACACAACTAGAATCCACATATCTCTGTGAATACCTCACCGATTCTCCTCATGTAACGTGCGTTGGAATTGCCTCGATGCCCTCTACCATCCGTACTATAACCTCATCACCTAATTCCTAGCCAACTTTCCACTGTATGTTTTCCTAACATTTATTCTTCATGAAGGACCTGATATTTAGCTGGTTTTGGGATGCCCACAGCTACCCTCCTACAATGTATGCACACTTGTTGGTATACAAATTCGCCCACACACCACCAGTGTGTGCTCCTTCCTACACTTCCCATGGGTGTGGCCATCCTGCACACCATGTTCATTAATCTCACCATCATCAAGATGAGGACTCGTCCATGAACAATGCCGACATCGAGACTTGTCACTACGATGACAACTATCTCAGTGACGATGTTGCTGTCAATGCAGCAAGGTCCACAATGACTCATAGGACCATGTCAAATCACCCATCCAGCTCTGGCCTGTCAGGGTCCATGCCACACAAATGGATGAGGAATTGAACCCCTCATATCCCTACCTTTGTCAATGACAATACTGTTGTTGATTATTCACTTCCTACCTTCGTCAACGACAGTGCTGTCGTTGATTATCTACTTTGTACCATTCTTCCTTCATCAACAACAATGCCATCATTGATTATTCACTTTATTCTTTGTCATTGACAATTCTGCCATCAACGATCTCAACTTTCAATGTCATCACTATTGACAACAGTATTCCATGACTTGTTCTCAATGGTGTTGAAGCTGTTTTCCTCCTATAATTTCCTTTACAATCGCAGCAACGAGAAAGTCACTTCATTGTTGACAATGCTGTCATCAAGAGCTGGGTGCATATGTTCCAGGAGAAACTCTAAGTGGGCTTTGCCTACAAACTACTATTATAGCCTCCTGCAATGAGTGTGCCCCCATTTGCATACATCCTTCATATGTAGAACGTTAAATTTAAATTTCCTTAATATGCTTGTTTTCCCCTTCATATGCTTGTACCCTGTCTGCAATTTAATATCGCAAGGGAGGATGTGAGGCCCCAGCCCATGTCTATATTCCACTCACAACATCAATTGATGTTGTGTTGTCTAATAATTATGTCGCGACACTAATTTAGCATCACAGATGCTTCTCTATTTATTTGTGCTGAGAATGTATTAAATTGTATATAAACCCTCGGGGTAGCTGTAAAGGGTGGACCAGCCTGTACTTCTACCCCATCAATATACAGCCCATTAAAGCATATTACTAGACAGCTGAGGCCTGAGGCAAACAGGGGGACAGAATGTTACCATCCCCAAACAAGTAAGCAGCACTACATGGCCCCACCCGGCCCCACTCCACCTGGTACCCCACTACCCACCCCTCTCCTTCCCCCTTCTCTCTCTTCCCCTCCCTTCCTTTCTCTTTCTTTCCTTTTCTTTACTCCTTCTCTCCATTTACTCTCTTTCTGTTTACCTTCTCTTTATTTACACAGACCACCTTCCCTTGTATCAATGTACTATTGACCTGTCTGCAGCATGCCCCCAACATGTCCAGTCCAGGCACCTTGGATGGCTTCCTGCTGTGCCCAGCACATGTGCCTGCAGCAGATGCTCTCGGGATCCCCCACAGGGACACCCGGGTGGCTGCAGCTGTGTGTGAGGATGATGTGGCACCCATCATGTGACCCAAGCCACATGTATATAAATGTACCTGAAGTGGGAACTGAAGAAGTAGCCTTCTTCTCACCCTTTCCACTTCAGTCTAAGTGGCCAGGGACCACATCCCAAGTCAGGCCTGCCAGTATGCATGCCCGCTCCACACCCCATGAGGCTTCTAGTGATGGGTGTTACACCCAGGCCTCCTCGACCCCAGATGCATCCCTGACAGGAGGGAGAAGGGAGAAGGGGTTGTCATTGTGGCCATGAGTTGTGTGTGGTGTGTGTGTCAGAAGGTGGGAGTGGGGAGTGTGTGGGAGGGGTGTTTGGGTTTGTTTGTTTGTTTTGTTTGGTCATTTGGTCATTTTGGTGTGCAATCCAACGGTGGTGAGAACTGAATGGGCATCACCATGAACAGCACCTTTGGACCTGACATCACTCCTCTCCTCGTCCCTCCTCTTACTCCTCTCCTCACTCATCACTCCTCTCCTCGCTCCTCTTGTCACCCCTCTCCTTCTGTCCCTCTTCTGCCAACCTCTGCCAAGTTATGACCTCCTGCTGCCATCCTGTACCCTGTACTTGGACACCGCTTGTGCCTTCACTCCGAGATTCCGTCATGGTCCTGACCTTGGACTTTGACTCCACCTCGGCTTAAGTCCATTGCATTGGTGACCTCATTCCACATCAGCAAACTTGGTAGGGAGCTCTTGGAGCTCTCAGAGCTCTCAGAGCTCTGTGAGCAAATTGAGTCTTTTTGCTGTGCACCCTCTACACATTGGGTGGAGAAAATTAAATGTTTGAATGATTTTATTCTCCTAAGGATGCAGAAGTGCAAAGATAATATGTATATACATTTTTGGAAATGCATATTCCATGGCCAGCATCATTACTTGAAACACTCTATGAGCTCTATGAGCTCACTGAGCTCATAGAGCTCATAGAGCTTTTTGTTTTTAAATCATGGATGGTCTTCATATCTCCATGAAATCTGCTTAGTTATTTTGGCACCAGTAGTGCAAAGATAATATGGATATATATGTGTGTAAAATGGCCATTGTCATTGCTCTGAAAGCTCTATGAGCTCTATGAACTCTATGAACTCAGTGGGCTCATAGAGCTCATATACCTTTTGTGTTTACTAAAATCAGCACCTTATTTTTTATTGCTATTTACAAAATTTGAGGAAAACTCTGAAATTCAAAAATTTGCACTTTATCTTTCATCTCATTTCTTGCTCAAAACTCAACCAATTTTGATGATTCTATGTGAATTGGAAAGCACCAAAGTGTGGCAATGTAACCATGCATGTTATGTAGGGTATAAATCAGTTTTAACAAAGTGTTCCAAATGAAGTAAATTGAAAATAAAGCAAACAAAAAGCTGATGTATTCTTCAGATATCATCCAAGCCTTTGACACCAAATTTCCCATGGTCAAAAAGCCATGGTTATTTGGCTCACTGTCAGGGCCCAGCCCTTGTTCTGTGACGGGCCCAGGGGGATCCTCCTAGTCGCTGGGGTATCTAGTCCCAGTCCGAGATCCTCAAACTCACTGAGGGGGCTAAACCTTCTCAACCTCCTCTACAAATGGGAGCCAGGAACTATACAGTTTTCAGCTCTTTGTTGACTCCCCATAAATGGCACCCCCCCGTGGGAACGAGCTGCTCACCCAGAAAGTTCCCACAGTTGTGGCTGTGATGGTTTCTGGGTGAGTAACTTACCCAGAACTTTCCCATGGGTCTGCATGCATGTGGGATTGTGGAATAGTGAGGGGCTGTGCCCTGACACTCACCAAAACATGGTGGGAGACTTTTCTAACACTGAAACATACATTGCTACATTGCCCCACTTTGGCACTTTCCAATGCACATTGAATTATCAAAAAAGTGAATTAATTTTTTTTCCAATTATTCCTAATTTCCTGAAATATCTCTCCCTAACTTATCCCAAAATTTCTGATTTTCCCCCTGATTTTTTGGACATTCTCCTTTTTTAGAAAGTCCCCCATTTTCTGAATTTTCCTTAATTTTCCCTGACTTTTTTTCAAGTTTTTAGAAACCCCCCAGTTCCGCCTCATTTTCCTCCCATTTTCCCCTTCATCCCCCCCCTCAATTTCCCCCCCATCCCCCCCTTCGATTTTCCCCTCATTCCCCCCCCCAATTCCCACCTCAATTTCCCCGCCATTTCTCCCCCATTCCCCCCTCCAAATTTCCCCTCATTCCCCCCCCATTCCCCCCTCAATTTTCCCCTCAATTCCCTCCTCAATTTTCCCCCATTCCCCCCCATCCTCCCCTCCAAATTTCCCCTCATTCCCCCCCATATCCCCCCTCCATTTCCTCCCCCATTTTCCCCCTCATTCCCCCCTCATTCCCCCTCCAAATTTCACCCCATTCCCCCCCTCCATTTTCCCCCCACTTCCCCCTCAATTTCCTCCCTCATTCCCCCCAATTCCCTCCTCATTTCCCCCTCCAAATGTCACCCCATTCCCCCCTCCATTTTCCCCTCATTTTCCCCCCATTTCCCCCTTTAATTTTTCCCCCCCAATTCCCCCCCAATTCCCCCCCCTCAATTTTCCCCTCATTTTCCCCCCCATTTTCCCCCCACTCATTTTCCCGCATTTTCCCTAAGTAATTTCAGATTAACTGCATTTATATCCCTAAATTTGGTCTATATATTGATTGGGCTACATACCCTTGGTGTCTGGTGCCGCATTGGTGCTGAAAGTGAAGCTGAGTTTGTTCAGTCCCTTGGATGGATGGATGGATGGATGTATTCATTTTAAAGTATGTAACCGTGCCTATCGGCATATGCCGTACTATAGTGACTCGGGTGAAAAAAGTTTGGAGATCATAAGGATGTGAAGAAAGGAATTTGTGTGACCTAGGAAGTATGAGACATCGAGTAATCAATGGTGTGAAGGAGAATAAAGTGAGATGAAGCAATAACACATAAAGGGGCATGCGACCCCTGCACTGAGATTGAACAACAGGTGAGGGAGAATGGAGGTGGGGAGAGGTTGTATAGAGCCAAAGAAAAGGACACGCGACCCCCAGTGTTGGGGTCGCATGTTTTGCTGCTGTGTGCCTATGGTTAAGTCAATGTTTGAGTGCGCGGTTCTTGCGGGTGGGTGAGTTGGAGGGTGCTTTCACGGGTTTATGTCACGGTAGGCTGGTGAATGTTCCAGTGGCAGCGAAAGGCGATGGGTGTTGGTGGCATCTTGCTCATGCTTGTTGAATAAAGGCATGTGGCAGATAGGCCTTTGGTAGAAAGGGTAGTGGAGAGAAATGAAAGTGTTGGGGTGACGGCAGGACTTGAACCTGCATTCCTTGCAGTCAACTTTTTGTCGGCATATGGGGCTATCGTTGGCGCTACCACTATCACGCCTCGTCACTAAGAGGTAGTGGAGAGAAAGATGAATAGGAAGGGTGTTGGGGTGATGGCAGGACTTGAACCTGCACTCCTCCGGCCTGCCCATGGACTTATGGAGGCTACCATTGGCGCTACCACTATTGCACCTCACCAACCCAAAAGGTGGTGGAGAAGAGAAAAAGAAGGAAGGGTTGGGGTGACGGTGGGACTTGAACCCACAGTCCTCTGGCCAGTCCCGTCTGGGCTTATGGAGGTCACCATTGGCGTTGCCACTATCGCGCTCGTCATTCCAAAAAGGTAGTGGTGAGAAGAAAAAGGAAGGGTTGGCTTGACAGCGGGACATGCACCCGCGCTCTTGCATCTCTCCAGCCAGTGCGGCTCTGGGCTTACGGGGTTGCGGTTGATTGGCATTACCACGGTGGCCACGTCATCCTCCCTTCAGATGTTAGAGGCCTAATTAGTTTTAAACAGGGGCACCACGTGAAGGTTTAGGCCCGTGCCGGGTGTTCGCTGTGGTAGCAGAACTCCCCCTCGACTGACATCCATCGTCGAGGCCCTTGTTCAGTCCCTTGTATGGTAGGGAGTTGGCTATGGCTAGTCACATGATGCCATAGTCAATGCTTTTAAATTTTAATTTTGATATCGGGTAAATTAAACACTCAGGGAGCTCATATAGATAATAGTCCCCTGTGTGCAAATATAGCTCTATGAGCTCTCAGAGCTTTGACTACTTTTTGGAGCTCTCAGAGAAGGGGACCTGCAATTTCAAAGTACTGAAGCTCTGAGAGCTCTGAGAGCTCTATGAGCTCTATGAGCTCTCAGGCCTCCGCATCCAGGTTTGCTGATGTACATAAACACCATGGCCAATATTCCTTGGACTTCTGACTCCACCTCCGTAACCTCTGTAACCTCCGAGCTTCATGGAATGTTCTCAGCACTTTCACCACTTGTACTGTATCTTTTGCACTATCCCTATTTGGACTACTGCTTCCTTCCATTTTAGCCAGTTAGTCATCAACCCCACTTCACCTCATCCTCCTGCCCCTCTGGGCTTTGCCCTTCCTACCTCCTTTCAGATATGCCATAGAGTCTAACCCATGACCCTTGGTACCGCTCCACTTCCATTATCCCCTTGTCTTCGTTTGGACGCCTTTGTTCTGATTCGGACCCCCTTTGACTTCCTTGTAAGGAGCTTTCATCTCCCCATTATATACAGGTGCTTGTACATACTCGATTAGACCCTCAGTCTAAAATCGACCAGAAATGCCCCCTAGAGACTTCTTGCTCACCACTTCTGAAATTAAGGACCAAATGGACAAACAGCAATGGCACAGCGCTCCCCTTGAGTTGCTGAGGCCAAGGTCCCTCCTTGCTAAGTCTCCAGTTCCACTCCAGAATCATCTGCCCTTGCCCCATTCTAACAGCTGCATGATACAGCTGATTATAGAAGTATTTGATTCCCTTCTTGGAATTGTATGAAAGCGTCTTGAATGCTTTTGTTGATGCAACTGCTGCTGACTTCTTGATGAAGGTACATATGAGGATCTCTAGCAGATCCCAGAATGGGGGGGGTTTCCCCATTCTGCACTACAATGCATATGTAATGCATTAGGAGGTCTTGTGCCTCACCTTCAACAGCAGTTGTCAGAGTGTGGACGTGAAACTCATTGTAAGCTCACCCTTCCACCCACATGATGACATATAAGCCAGCCAGGAGTGTAGCCAGTTGTGAAATAACTTTGAATTGTTTTCTCCAGACCATTTAATGGTTGGAGTTAGCCCCTGCATCTTTTTGAGCAGTTCTGGACAGACGTCTGCAGGCAGTGGCTGCAGGATTTGAACTTCTACACTTCAGCATGCAGACTCAAGAAGCCAAGCCATGAACTCAGATGGATCAGGCACTACTCATGCAGCAGGAGCTGCATATGAATGCATGGTTGAGTCAAACAAACCGGGTCATACAGACATGTGGTTTGGGAAATTAGATGAAGGCTCCCATTTTATTTCGGTGCCAAATGGGTTGGGCCAGGACAAGCCACCCTCGCCACCATCCTCATCATCAGCATCCCCATTCAGACAGCGGGGCCTTCTCCCCTAACTTGGTCTACATGCCTCTTGCTCCCTTCTGGAGCCGCAGCCAGTTGTGAGAAGCGGTGATAGTTGTCCAGTGTCAGGGGACATAGCATAAGTGGTTCTCTGTTACCCTATCGATATTGCGTAAGACTATATCACCGCATGTAGCCACATTGGCCCTCATATATCGTAAATCCCTCACCTTCTCCTGATCCGACTCTGCCCCTTTGATCCGAGTGTTCCTTCATTTCTATTCACTTTGTTTCTATCGGATCATTGTTTAGTTCCTTTGATCCTATCTCTTCCGATTGATTGATGTCACTTGTGTATTTAGCTCTATGTGCCGCTGAGGGTTGGAACCTCAGCTTTGTCTATGACTAGGTTTTCGGGCAATACTTGACTCAGACTGACGAGTGATCCCTGACATCCAGCACCCATCTGAGTGCTGTGCTGTGGGTCAGTCTTTCAGGGTTTTCACCATTTGCCCCACGACCCACATTGTATATGAATGCCGCAGATGGGCATTAAAATCGAAAGTGGATTCGCTGAGACTATGCTCAGCAAAAATTGGTCTGACCTTGGCTGGTTGTCTGTCCACCAAGGTCATCAACACAATCCTGGATGTAGATCAGGTGCTTCTTCCATGCATGGTACTTGTATGGATCATCGATGACTTCAACATCATCATCCTCTTCCTGTATCATCTCCACAGTGGCCTTTATTGGCACTGTTTTCTTCTTCCCATGGTCGGGAGGGAGGTTACATGTTTGAGTAACGTTAATGCATGGTATCTTGACCCCATTGTGCATGGGTTGCAACAACAGGATGAAAGGCGTGGGCACAATGCCCAGCCTGAAAGGATGCAGTAAAGTTACATTCACCCCTGCAGTTGACAGCCCAGCCAGTTGTCCTGGGTCGATTTCCCTACCTTTCCCCTTGGCATCAGTGGTTACTGACACTGTCAACAGGGTAGGTGGCTTAGTTCCACTAAAGATGGGAACAAATTGTCCATTGGGCTCTTGTACCTCGACGGATGGGCATGGATTTGCCACCTCTGTGATGGCAATTGGGATCCCTTCAGGTACTGGGACCCCAACAATTGGTCGATCCATTTGACTGATGGGGACGATGCAAGCGGGAAATCGGCTACGGGACCAGAAAACAGAGGGTAGCACTCCAGCTCACTCCCCAAGAGCTAGGGGAGAAAGAGAAAGGGGGCTGAGAGGGTGTTGCAGTAAGAACAGGTCTGTATATCCAATGGGAGGGGGGGGGATTTTGGGGATATATATAACTCTGGAAACTCTTTCTTATCTTCTTTCCATGGTGGATGTCATATCCATCCACAGCCATCATCTTCCACTACCTCCAATCCTTCCGGATTACCTCCGCTCCTCCACCACTAACCTCGGAGCCTCTGGTTTCCGCAATCACCTCCGGCCCCCCCGATGGTCACCACCTCTCCAATTCCATATATTACCTATGCCTCCCTAAGTACGGAGCCCTGAAGCTCTCCGGACAGCTCTGACGTCTGCTAGCGCACCCCTGCCTCCGCTGGGCAATTCACTTGCTTGCCCTGCAAGTCTACCTTCGGGCCTATCCCTCCTTTCCACTTGTGGGTAATAACCCATCATTCCGTTAAACCCGCAACCCAACTCGTCGGTAATATTCAGTCAGCTAACATCTATCCCTGTTAGCTCCGCTCCGCTCGGTCCCGCTATTCACAGGCCTGCCCTCGCTGTAACTATATATACTTAACTTGTACATAGGTTACACTCCAGTGATAAAATCGACTAGAGTTGATCCCCCCTTTTAGTTCTCATTGCCAGTAAGTAAATTAGGGCACGGATGTGTAACTTGGCACAGCGCTCCTGGTCTTCCACCACAAGACAACTCCCTTGTCTCGCTCAGGTCTCTAACAGTGGATTTCCCTAAAGGTCACAATAGCCCTTTACCAATCATGTGGCCACTCACAGCACCCAAGTACACGGACTTCAAAAAGTAGCAGGAGGGGGGTGTTAAAGAAATGGGTTATGGGTAATCCATTTCTTTCCGTCCTTATAGATGACTTGTAATCGTCCACCTCATGTATGTAGGGCAGCCTAGTCGTGTAATTAGAATTGTCCAATAGCCTTGGAGCTTTTGACAGAAAGCTGAGACCTCACGGTGAATGGGAGTCTGCTATGATGGATACTTGGCGCTCATTACGTGAGCGTACCGTGCGCGGGTGTATAGAATCACAGGTTAAGGGAATATCCAGAACGGGACCAGTTGAGGACAAAGGGCTAACAGGTACTTGGCGCTCGAGGGAGCGTACCGGTAGCGAGTGAGATAACAACTCCTTGAGGGAGCTTCCTGAGATATGGTTGATGGGTACTTGGCACCCAATTGGGTGTACTGGCAACGAGTGATGTTCTAGCTCCTTGAGGGAGCTACTAGAGGCTGGGTTGACAGATACTTGGCGCCCAGATGGGTGTACCGGCAATGAGGTATGAGACTGTTCATCTGGCGAACGGTCTGTATTCGTGTCAATGGGTACTTGGCGCTCGTAAGAGCGTACTGGTGATGGAGGGGTTAGTCGATTGTAGGTTGAACGACATGTGGTGGGATCGACGGCTACTTGGCGCTCACGAGAGCGTACTGGCGACGAGGGGAACAGGCTTGTATCGAATACCAATCCATCCATAGAATTAACCAGATGCTCACCGTAAGGTGAGACAGATGTGAGTCGTGACAAAAGGTGTTTGCACATACCTGAGTTGAGTCGCGTGCGAACTCGACGATCCGTGGCTAGAGTCGTCAACCTCGGTAGGGATGACCCATATAGATGGTGACCAAGACATACACAATCTTACACAGGCGTTACAGTGTTGGCACAAGGAGGTTTACAGTTGTTGCACAGAAGAGGATGGTGTGTTATTCGTTAGGTTCCGTCTTTTCGGCTGTAGCCGTACATGAACATGATGCTAACTATTGAATAAGAAATGATCGCGAGAAATCTCGCGAAATAGAATAAATAATCCGGCCAGCACCAAAACCCAATAAGGGAAAGCTTAGTGTGGAGTGAGCGTGTAAGAAGGGGGGGAAGCGGGGAGAAGGTAACAAAGAGAAGGGAGGATGTGGAGAAGGAGGACCTGCTGTGGTGTACGTTCAGTCGACACGGTCGCGAGAGACTCCATTCCTATAACATCACCCCCCAGTCTCTACCGACTGTGTCAGGGCAGATGAGGGCCACACCATCGACGATTGTCTCGGTGAGGGGAACAGCTCCTAGATTGTGAATGGCGCTGAATGGGAGGGTAATCGTAGGGATCATCACGTGGATGTGATGAGGATGTGTAGGAAGGTGGCACATTTTCGTGATGGTAAGAAGGCGGCGCCGGATATGGGGCCTGGGGAGGAGGTGCGACCAGATTGACCATGAATGCAGGTATGGCCATGTTTGAGCTGCTGTCCACTACCCAGGTGGGATTCACCGGCAGGGCGA